AGAATGTGCCATTGAGTCTTAGCCAACGCGTGGTGCTCCATGGGGTGTTCCAAGCAAAAGGCGAGCAAAGGTGGTTTGCCGTTGCCTTCCTCCATGTAGTGACCCCAGTCTTCCTCTGGGGTCTCCCATCCAAGTACTGATTGTGACCAACCCTGCTTAGTTCCCAAGCTCTGGAGAGCCGGTGCTAAGCTGGGCTATTTGGGCTGCTCAGACGACTTGGAGAACAAGTTTGCAGGTCATCTTAAAGGGGAAGTGCTGTGCAACTGAGCACAGAAAAACCAGTGGGGCCCATCTGATGACAATCAGCAGACACATGCTCTGCAGCCCCACCCACTGTTTCCACCTATTGACACAGCAGATGTGAGGAACCACAGGCTGCTCATGGGCTGACCTGTGCATGTAGGAAAAGCAGCAATGGCGTTTTGAAAGACTCCACACTGCAAAAAGTACCCTGTGATTCTACTTGACATCAGGACAAGGTGGATTGTGTTGTGCAAGCTAAAGATGTGCAAGGGAGGGAGAACAAAGGGATGCCACAGCCTGTGCCGTGGGTCTCCTCTGGGTCAATGGCTGTATCCATCCAAGTCAGTAAGGCACAATGTTCCCTCTAAGCTGTGGAGTCCTGTGAGCAGAAATTCTACTTTGTGAGCTACTGGCATTAAAGTTGTGAGCAAGTAGTTTGGCTGCTGCATAAAATTAGTTTGCTCTGGAGCCATCTTTCCTGAGCTAAGACAAAAATGTGTGAGCTGGAGGCTAAAAAACTGTGAGCTAGCTCACACTAACTCACCTTAGAGGTAACACTGGTTGGTACTCCAGGTCAGGATCTGCACCAAGGTCGCCTTCAGGGTCCAAAGACAGAGCCCCTGCATAACTGTCATGAGCATTGTAAAGATGATGCAGTGGGCTGGTGCTTAACAGCAGGCACTAATGGGTATTAAGGACGGAGGCTTTAGTGGATTCCCCCGTCTTCTATTAACTGGTCTGTTTGTGCAATTTAAAAATATATATTTACCTGCCTAGACCCCCTGGCTATTGCCAGGTGAAAAGAAAATTTAAATAAATACAATCTCAATAAATAAATTCTTTACTGTGAACATTTTTTACTGAAAGCAATGGGAGCTTGCTGGAATGAGTTATTTGTGGGCACCAATGAGATGACATTAATACCACTGGTTTATTGGAATTTCTGTTTGCCCATAAGTCTGGGTTGTTGTCCTCGTTTCCCGAATAAAGCCTGCTATACAGGAAAGGCAGTATTTCGTCCTTCATATACACAGGTACCTAAAAGAATCTTTTACATCTTGAGGCAGTATAATTTGGGAATGAAGATGTCATGGCTTGAAATCATAGACACAGGGAGAGCAGGGTTGCGGTTCTGAGTATTGGCTGACATATAGCTGAACACTCAGTACCATCGTGTCAAAATTGTAATTTCTTTTTTCAGTTCAGGGAGGGGCAGAACACCTTTTTGTTATAAATGGTACCTAATTGTTAATTTAGTTAAGAGAATACACTCTGATTGACACTGCATATTTTCCCCCCTTTAGCAGTTTGGGGGAGGGGAGAATGAGGTTGGCCTCATTAAGCTCTTTCTCCTTTACCAGGCAATTTAATATTGAATGAATGCAGAGCAGGAACTAAAATAAATCAGTGCAATTCTGCACTGTTGTTAAACTAGACAAAAGAGTAAATAGGTCTGAAAGATGAGAGGAAATTATAGTTCTCATTTGATTCTTCCAATCCTTGAAGAAGAGTTGTGTGATTGTAGCCTGCATCCAGAGCCCAGACAGATGCTCAGTGAAGGTAAGGGGAGCGCTTCATGGGGGTGCAATGTGGCCTATCTAGTGGAATGACGGAGCCCTTGCTGCTTTGATACTAGGGATGCTGCAAATATCGGTGATATGATATTCCCAAAGCAAGAGCTGCACACTGGCCCTTTGGATCAGGGCACTGATCAGGGAGCAAGTTTGCAAATGTTATTAGTAGTGCCACTTTTAAGCTGTAACCGTCATCACAAAGCAACTCTTGCCCACATTTTTAGTGAGTAGAAGTGGTTTTAGTTCAAAAATTACTATGACCTGGAAAATGCCAGGAACCAAATGAGGTGTTTTTAAAGGTGGCAAGTGGGGTGAGAGAGACATACAGCAGTTTGCAGTATTACCACGTGGGGAATTCTTTCACATGAGCAGAGGGGCAATGAATACTGAAGGGAAATCCAAGTCTTACACTCATATCAAAGGAAAAGCCAGAAATGCAGGTGGTAGATTGCTTCCTTGAATACCCACCCAAGTAAAACCTTTCAGCACATGGAAAACCAGCATGGCACAGAAAAGGCTAGGCATGTTTTTGCGGGCAGGGTTCTGGGTTTTTCTGTTTCTTGTTTTGTTTTACATGGAAGAGCATTCAAAGAGCACAATCCTGAAACTGTGTTCTGAAATATCCCATCTGAAATATACCTGGTGTCTTTTTTTGTACCTCCAGATTGGCCTTGGGCTCTGGCAGTGCACTTGATGACTACCATTAGTATGGATGTGCCTTCTCTGTGATGCTGGGAGAATGTCTGCATGGCTCCAGTTTTGAAAACATGATCACATCTGAATAATAATGATGGCAACCTGGAAATGCCCTTTTAGACAGTGGATATCATGGAGAGTAGATCAGCTGGCCCCACAAACCATAAAATAGCTTATTCATTATGCATAACAACTTCCCCTTGAGAAACAAAAAACTGATCCACCCAACAGGCAATTACAGAAGATCACTTCAGAGTAGTAGTTGAACTCAGAAGTGGAGGGCTGGCAATAGCCTCAGTCCTGAAAGAGGTGTTCTCACAGCACAACATATACGCTGAGGCACTTCTGCACAAATCTATTTGTCCTCTGAGACCTTCCTGGCTTTGGGTACTTTCTTTTGGAGGCAAGAGCTAACGTTGCCAAAGGCAGGGCTTTTTCCTGATTCCATTTTCTACCTTAACTGCATGGCTTTTGGAGGTGCTATTAAGACTTCTTACTAGGGTTGCCAAGTCAAAAAATCTTACTGGCGGGGGAGCCTCGCTGGGCTCCAGGAGCCGTCCCTCGAGGTGCGCGCGCACACTGCCAGCACGTCACCGGAGGTGACACACAACATCAATCATGCTGAAGGCGTGGCCCCAATCGTCAGAGGGAAAACCATAGAGTTTTCCCTCCGACGATCGGGGCCACACCCCCAACGTGATTGACATGGTTGCGTCACCAGAGGTGATGCAGCCACGCTGCGCTTTGGGGGGCGGAGTTCCCCCCGGGGCCCGATTCCACGGTGGTGGAAATTGGGCCTCCGAAGCAGGGGTTTACCTGCCCCCCGCCCCCACTTGGCAGCCCTACTTCTTACACAGCTCACTAGCTGAACTTCACAGGCTGCCTGATCTTTCCTGAGTTCAATATGAAGGTCTGATTTTGGCCTTTACATTCCCAGAAGTCCGGGATGGCCTCCTCCCACATGCCTAAGCCACTTTTAATTTCTTCATCACCAGCTCTGCTTCCTATACCTCACCTTCAGAGGTCCTTTTCTCTTGTAGGACTTCACCTGGCATGACACCTGCTAATCTTTCAAATACGTTGCTCTGCTCAAGAAATGTTATGCTGGCCTATGCTGCTTTTATTGGCATGTTGTGTTAGTGTTGATTGATTGATTGATTTGATTGATTGATTAGATTTTTACCCCGCCCTCCCGGCCGAAGCCGGCTCAGGGCGGCTTACACAAGAACCGAATAAAACGTCCAATAATATAATTTAAAATTATCAAACATAACTTAATACAAATAACAAAGCTAAAACCATAGACGTAATAAAGTGCTAGTAATTTGGTTTCCTCATCTTGCAGTCAGCTCTTCGATCTTCTTCAGTTGTCCTGGGTGATTAGCTCAGGCAGTAATTAGAGGACCCAGGGGGTCAGGGCTCTCCCACCATAGGCTCTCAGGTGTTAGTAGTGCTGGTGGCGGCTCCAAAGGCCTGGTGGAAGAGCTCCATTTTACAGGCCCTGCGGAACTGTAAAAGGTCCCACAGGGCCCTGGTCTCTTCTGGGAGCTCATTCCACCAGAGTGGAGCCGCCACCAAAAACACCCTGGCCCTAGTTGTTACTAACCTGGCCTCCTTGATGCTCAGGAGGGCCAGTCAGTTCTGGGTCCCTGATCGCAGCAGCCTCTGGGGTACATATGGGGAAAGGCGGTTCCTCAGGTATGTTGGTCCCTGGCCATAAAGGGCTTTAAAGATAATAACCAGCACCTTGAGATGAATCCGGTATGCTATAGGCAGCCAGTGGAATGTCTTTAGCACAGGTTGGATGTGCTCCCAAATAGGGAGTCCCACCAAAAGCCTGGCCACGGCATTTTGCACCAGCTGCAGCTTCCGGATTTGAGACAGGGGCAGCCCCATGTAGAGGGCATTACAGTAATCCAGTCTTGAGGTGACTGGCCGCCCAACAGCAGATAGAGCTATTTTACTGTTTTGTTGAATTGCTGTGTTTACTGTGGAAACCAAGAAAGTTTGGTTTGGGAGAGTGTACTATGAAAAAGATATGTTTATTTACCAAAGAATGTTTAGTTGTTATTGAATCTGCAGATTGGCCTTGCTTCTGGCAATGCACTTGGTGACTACTGATGGCATGAATGTGCCTTCTCTGTGTTACTGTTTTGTTACTGTCTTCATTTTGTAGATGTCTGTTTTGTTTTGACTCTTGTATACCTTACATTTTTTATTGGTTTTGATGTTTTTATGATGTTGCACTGACACTATTCAGACAGAAAAGCCAAGGGTAGGTTTTGCAAATAAACATTCCACTTTAGCCATGAAATCAAGTCAGTGAATCTCAGCGTCACTTTCTCAGCTTCCATTTATCCATCTATAGAATGGGTTTATCTTGCAGTATTATGATGATGAATGTGATAAGGACTCTTTTAAATGCCCCACCAAAAGATTAATAGTATTCTTTATATTTGTTGTACTGTGCCAGGTCCTAAAGGTTACCTGTGCCACTGCAGCTGTGGTCTTGCTGATAATACAGGGATTCAAGATCACAACTGGGAACTCCTGTCCCTCAGATTTCTGGGCTTCCAGGCATCTCTGTCTTTGCCGTATTATCCCAGATTGGTAGAGTGATTCCTCAGGAATTCTAGGAAGAGAGACCCAGAATAAGGATAGTCAGTTTTACTGAGGTAGGGGAGAGGATCACAAATGTGATATAGGGGACAGAAAAGTTGAATTTGGACTACAAAGGAAGAAGAAGAGAAGAGAAGAAGGGACTGGATTTATACTCCATCCTTCACTCAGAGGGCTCTGAGTGCCACCTCTGGCACCTGTGCCATAGGTTCGCCACCACTGGCCTAGAGCATCCCTGACAAGTGTTTGTCCAGCTGCTGCTTGAAGATTGCCATTGAGGGGGAGCTCCCCACCTCCCTAGGTGGCCGATTCCACTGCTGGACTACTCTTACTGTAAAGATATTTTTCCTAATGTCCAGCCATTATTGCGAGTCCTGTCCTCTGCTGCCAACAGGAACAGTTCCCTGCCTCCCTCTAAGTGACAGCCTTCCAAGTACTTAAATAGTGCAATTATGTCCCATCTCAGCCTGCTCTTCCCCAGACTGAAATGTTTCACAGACATTGTTTCTGGTATGTATGAGGAGCTCCTTCTTTGAAAAAGACTGACAGCTGAGTTACATGACAATTTCTGAGGCAAATGAGTCACCACGTGATTAAAATTTGCACAATATGATAGCAGCTAAAGGAAAAAAGTATTTAAAATGTGGTGACTTTATCACAAAAGAAAGCTTGATTAAGACGTTATTATTAAATGGATGTTAAGGAAGAAAGTCATCTCTTGGTGATTTATCAAGGTGTTTTTTTTTTAAGAAAAGGGATGTTTCTAAAATTATATTCTTTAAGTAGCATATGATATGAAAAACTGTTAGTACCTAAGTTCTGGATAAACATTTTCCAGATACCACTTGAAGGAATGACATTTCAAGGCCTTTCTCAGCTCCACTCTGCTCTGGATGCTGTAGAAAATAAAATATTTTCAAAATATAATTACGACAGCACATACTGTTAAAGCTTGAAACAGATCCAAGTCACGCCATAAATATAATCAGTGGCAAAACTTTATGGTAATTAGGAGTCCTTTAAAGTCAGTTGGGTGACTTTCAACAAGTTGTTTTGAAGTCGACTGTCAAAGGCCAACAAATAATTGCACAACTTCCTCCCACCACTATAATTCTACTTGAAGCATGGTGCCAAAATGGCATGTCTGCTATGGATATGTTCATAGCATATAATGAATCAGCACACTCGTGCTTATGCAAGCAGCTTCCATGTTCATCTCCTTGCTGGATGAGGATCTACATCCACAAATGGGTGCTGAACTCATGACCTGTAGCCCAATCCAATAACTGGGGCTACAAGCACAAAACCAGCAAGACCTGTTGGGGGGAGGTAGGTCATTACACCGAATCCTGACTCTTTCCAAACTATTGAGTAGCACTACTGCTGATAGTTTTAACACAACAGTATGTGTACATGGTAAGGGGATAACCTTAGCAATGCACTGTTTTAAGAATCTCATTTAACAATCAACAAATGTTCTTCAGAGCTATCAAGGTTACAAGGAGCAAGTAGGTCAAAACATAAAAGAAGAAGAAGAGCTGGATTTATACCCCGCCCTTCACTCAGAGTCTCAGAGCGGCTTACAATCTCCTTCCCTTCCTCTCCCCACAACAGACACCCTGTGAGGTAGGTGGGACTGAGAGAGCTCTGAGAGAACTGCTCTTGAGAGAACAGCTCTGAGAAAACTGTGACTGACCCAAGGTCACCCGGCACCCAGTTGACCTTGATTTTGTTGCAACTACTGAAGTACTTACTATTATTATTATTTTTAAAATCCACACTATACAGAGGAATTTGGCAATGGATAAAAAAGCAAGCAGAGATAACAGATAAAGAACACAAGCAGGCAAATAGACCAGGTGAAATTAGAATAAATTACTCCACATTTTCTAAGGCAAAGTAACTCTCTATTGCCCCAAGGCAAATATGGAAATGAGGGTTTCAACTGGCAGCCTCCTCTCCCTTATTTGTTGCTTTGCCCTGAGGCAGTCTATGCTCACAATGCCAGCTCATCGATTCAGGAAAGTGACTTCTCTCTTTCTTGGCCCAATAGGGCAGTCATTAAAGGAAGAGACATTCTTGGATATTGACCAGCGACATTTTCTAGCAGAACAGGAGGACACCCGCTCTTTTGTTTTTGCTAAGAAAAGCCAACATGGTTTTCTATAAGCTAGCTTTTTAATATACCAAGCAACTAAAGAGTTTATTTCTGTATACTTGCAGCATCTGCTTACTATTAACATCTAATTAACTGTTCCCACAGAAACAAAATGCAAGCAACCCAACAGCTGGACGATGCTCCCATAAAACCGTAATGAGGTTCCACTGCATCAAACAATTGAGTCGATCTCTTTGTGTTTTCCTTCACCGCCAGAGGGGGACACTTACTCTCCATATGGCCTCCCTTGAGCCGCAGGCCGGGCAGCATAATAGTACTGCTTATACTCATCCATCCACACTTCAGCTGTGCGCTTGGTGTTTCTAAAGAGAGATATTAAAAACCGGGGAGAAACCAAAGAAGCATGCATGAAAGAGTTTTAATTTGATGCCTCCAAGAAAAAAGAAGCCTGTAGGGAAGGAGGAGTCAGGGACAGAGAAATCCCCCTTTTTTTTCCCCCCCCTCAAGAGCCGTAGACATCTTAGGTCGGGAAGCCAAGAAAAAATGGAGGTTGCATTCACTCCCAGGGTTTAAGGGCTGCTTCACACTTTATGTTTTGAAGTTGTACACTGGCAGTGTTTATGTGTGCATCCAAACATTTCATGTGTAAATGTGACAAACATATATTTATCATACAGGTGTACTCATTAGAGAGCTGGGACAGGCTTCTCCTCTCTTCAAGCATGTATGTAGCAGTCACTGTACTCACTACCAGAGGATGTAGTGATGGCCACAAACAGCTTTAAAAGGGGATTAGACAGATTCATGGAGAATAGGTCTATCAGCGGCTACTAGCTATGGTGACTGAGGGGAACCTCCACATTTAAAGGCACTAAACTTCTGAATCCCAGAGCCAGGAGGTAACAGCAGGAGAAGGTCTTGACCTCTATGCCCTATTGTTGGCCATCCAGAGGAACTGGGTGGCCCCTGTGTGAGACAGGATGCTGGACTAGATGGACTACTGGTCTGATCTAGCAGGAGTCTTAAATTCTTAACCCCGGTTTTGCTGCTGTATGATCTGGAGTCCTATTTTAGCAGAAAAGCGGGGCAAAAATTGCCTAAACAAGGGCCAAAATACTCATTATCTTTCACAGGAGTTTGCCGTGGGACTTGCAGCCATACTGCATCTGTGAGTTCCCAGTGACAACTCTATTTAGAAGCACCACAGGGACCCAGCTCTGATCGAGACTGCAGCACAGAGATGGGGGGGGGGCCTCCCGTGTTCCACTCCTGTGCCGTTTTCCTAGCTGAAATGGCCCTGGCGGTCATTATTTGACTCACTGCATACACAACCCCCTTGATGGGGCAAATTATATCACCCTAGGCTGTTTCAGCTCACGAAAATGGTGCAACGGGGAAGGCCAGAGCTCCTCCTCTCCTTGCTTAGACAATTTAGTGATTATGAGTAAGAACTGGGTTACGTTCCGTAAGACCATGTGGCATGGCTTATGGTTTTGAAGAACGTATTTGTCCTTATGTACTGATGTTGTGCCTAGTCATACAGAGATATATGCAAGAGATATGCCGACTAAGCAAAGTCCATTGTTTAGTGAAGAGGTGCACAGATTATGGCTGAACCCCACATCTTGCCAGCATAAGATGACACTTGTTCTTTTGTTTTTGATGAGAAAAAACAACATGGGCACCAGAGAGGGCCCAGTCTGGGTCTCTGCCCACTTTTAAGCACACTCAGATTGATGCTGGCCCATTCTGTTTCCAGTAATGGCAAAAAGAATAGCTTGTTCCAACTCAGAGCCTGCAAAAGTGAGTGAAGGCCCTAGGGCTGAAAAATCTGCACACCCCTAGTTTAGTGAAAGAGTACATGAAGAGTTGTATGTATAAACAGCCACCCGGAAGGGGTGAGGCTTACACCTATGCTTGGGTCCTTCAGGGAAGGCTATAAAATGGAGCTATTTAAAAAGAGTTTATGGGGCAGCTTGATGGTTATAGATGCTGGCTGTGGCTTCTCTCTTTTACCACACAATCCTGAGGGGTGCTGGAGAGGTGGTGGCCAGCTGCCAATGCAAAAGCAGTACAGCTGGTCCATTCCCTATGGGTATTCTGCAGGTGGAAATAACGACATATGCCCCTCCACAAAGCACAGAAGCCACAGCAAGCTCACCAGAGTCCACAGGAACCCCAACTACACCCACCAATCAAACAAGGCCACTGATGATGGCCATGTGAGTAGCAGGCACAGGTGCAACCAATCACCACCCACTGATCTGGGCACTACCCCTGGATGCCGCTCCCCCTCCAGGGAGACACTGGAGGGAGGAAAGACAGCAACAGCTCAACCCCAACAGAGGCATGCAGTCTTAGTGCCCTCCCAGCCCATAGGGGGAGAGTACCCATGCTGTGGGCAGGATGCTCCCCCTTCCCCGGCGAGGGCTTGACCAGCAGCAAAAGTGCATGGTCACCCCCTTCAGGCTGACCTTCTGGAGACAGGGTACTGCTTAGGACTCTGAAATGAGACGTGTTAGCCACCTGGCATGGACTTTGCTTTCCCCCTTGGGAGTTGGTGCTAAGTGCCCTTTCTGTTCCTCTCCTGCTGCTGAAGTGCAATGTTGGGCACTCTGTGTGCCTGGCAGAGACCTCTGAGAGAAAATCCAAAGCCACATGCCCCCTATTTACTGAAGACGGGGCATCCTGGCTGGGGTTTATGTAGTACTGGGGAAGGTGACTGGGGGCAGGGAAGGGGTTGGGCTGCAGCTGGGGAGGGGATGATTAGTGGCAGCTCTAGTAAGCATCCTGTGTTCTGCCAGGGCTTTGGGACAGAACCATACCTGTGGGGTGGGGGGAGCAGTGTTCCCTCTAAGCTGAGTTAGTGTGAGCTAGCTTGCAGCCTTTTAGCCTCCAGCTCACACATTTTTGTCTCAGCTCAGGGAGGATGGCTCCAGAGCAAACTAACTGATGCAGCAGCCAAATTGCTCGCTCACAACTTTAATGCCAGTAGCTCAGAAAGTAGATTTTTTTGCTCACAAGACTCCACAGCTTAGAGGGAGCATTGGAGGGGAGGGGAGGGGTGCTTGCCCTGCCCCTTTGCATGGGTGCCTATGAGCTATGCTGTGGTTTTTGATGGCATAACTTTTTGCTGGGGTTTGGCGGAGATCCTGGGCTGGCGACTCCAGGGCGTCAGCTAACTCCTGCCACGCCCTGGGTCCACCCGTTTCCCCACCAGTGCCGCAGCTTGTACTAATGCTGCTCCACTGTGTTGCCACACTGGCACCCAGCTGAGGTGCAGTGCCACCAGGACCATCCACTGGTGCATCTTAGAGATATAGTGGCAGAGAACCTTGTTGGCTTCATGTACACTTCCAATCCTCACACACACACCCCGATTTCACTGTGAATTATGTGCTTTACTGATTTGAAAATATGACCATTTTGTATTGTATTTATTGTCGCTATCTGCCTTGGGTCTTGGCTCTGTCTGGGCAGAAGCAAGGTAGTGTCAATAAAGAAATATTCAAGGTCCAGTTCTTGGGATCTCCAAATAAAGGTTCTCAGGTAGGAAGGATGAAAAGGAGTACCTGCGACCCAGAAAACTGCTTCTAAATCAAAGTACATATTACTTTGACCTGTAATTATCTGACTGGCTACCAGGTAGTTTCATAAGTCAAGATGCTAACTGCATGCCCCAGCTGCTATGTTGTTGGCACCCTGTGATACAGTTATAGGCCCTACCCCAATGTTATATGGCTTACCAATCTCTTAGAACCAATAGTTAAAATTCCAATACATTGACTTCTGTCGTAGCCCTAAAATGTCGCCAAAAATAGTACATTTCCCTGGCATATCTCAAAAAGATAAGTTAGTGTACTGGGGTCTGTATCTTTTTGTCAGCCTATCAGATTTATTTCAGCTTTCACTTTTATGTCTCTTCTCACGTCTTTCCCAGGAATACCTCAATGCCATCTAGGTTGCTTCCCAGAACCTACCATGCCAGTTTCTTGCAAGAACAACAATACATGATGTATGCCTTTTGCATTCAGAAGCATAAAAGCAACTCAGTTCTGACATGCATAATTTTTTTTGTCTAGCAGGTGGTGTGTATATGTAGATTTCTACAGCTTGTGCGCACAGATTTTCAGTGAAATGTCTTCCTTATTCAGTCCAGCTTGGTCTTTCTCCTCTCCTTTGCTTCTCCTTCCCTCTCCCCTTCTTTTCTCCAGATGATTTTTTAAAATTTAAGGCTTAAGCAACTGTGTTCAGGAAGACTGCGTTTCCTACTCCTTTCTGTACTTCTTTTCATTTTTATGAAATGAATTGATTATCTTGATTATCTGTCTATGTTATGATTTGCAGCTGATCAGTGGGACCACTAATTATTGCACCTCTTATTCAGGACAATTCAAGTATTTTTAATGTGTCCGTGTGTCTGTGGTTTCCCTTCCACAATGGCTATCTCACTGAATTCAACAAAAGCAATATTTCCGTGTGTCCTTCTTACCCTGCTCATTATGAGATGTTCTTGTTACTGAAATGCATGGGACAGCTCACAGGCTTTTGGAGTAGGATGTTTGAGTTCCATGTACACATGTATGGAGGCACATTTTAAATATCTATTCATGCTACCAGAAGACCCTATATCATTAAAAGCAACATTTCTTTACAGGAATTCTGCATGAAGGCTAACACATTGCTGCTAATTTCTTTAAAAAAAAAGTTTTTATAGCAGTTGCACTTGCAGTCGGAGTCATAATAATGCATGTTTTTGCTTGTGCATACTTTGATCATAGTCGCACTGAATCATGGATTATTAGTACACATTAGACCAAAGTATATATATACAAAAACATCTGGGCCTTGAGCAATTCTAAACATGACAAGGGCCCTGGTCACACGGGCCGGATAACGTAGGGGGGAGGTGTGGCTATTTGCAGCGCCACAATTTAACGTGCCATAATCAATGTTCCCTCTAAGCTGTGAAGTCTTTGTGAGCAAAAATTCTACTTTGTGAGCTACTGGGGTTAAAGTTATAAGCAAATGATTTGGCTACTGCATATATGAGTTTGCTCTGGAGCCATCCCTTCCTGAGCTGAGACAAAAATGTGTGAGCTGGAGGCTAAAAAACTGTGAGCTAGCTCATACTAACTCAGCTTAGAGGGAACACTGGCCATAATGCCATTCCACGCATCGGCAGCATGCCACAGTACCTTCCCTCCATGTCAACGAGGGGCCAGAGGGAAAAGTGGCGTGCTGGCGCGATCACACCAACGCATTCCGGTTGCCCATGGCAAACTGGTTGCTACTACCTTCGACCAGGTATTTTTTAACTCCACATTTTCGGCAGTATGCCACGGGTTGCCCATGGGTGCGCTCCACTTCCCAGATGTTGTGGTGTGATCGCGCCTGGAAAATCCGCCATTCACTTGTCGCTCACCCGCAGCAAATCCTCCGTGTGAATGCGGCCAAGGATCCTTTTTCATGCGTTGATTTGAATTGGCTTACTGCATTTACTTAATTCCAATCACATTAAATTGTGTAGTTGCAAAAAAAGGAACATCTTATGGAAAGCATTTTTCAAAGCAGTCATTCTTGACAGGACAAATGCACAAATTGTTAAGTCTTACTTTTGCTTTGCTTTGCTTTCTTTCTGTTCTTTTTCTTTTTTAAAAAAGACTCTACTAGCTGTGCAGTGCCGGATCTCTCTGGAAAACCAACCCTTCTGTGAATGGTTATGGGCTTGCTGGGAACTGGTACCATATGGAAGAGGTTACTGCCCACACTTCCTTTCTGCTCCTCCTTAATGTGACATCAAGGATATGTGTATTATAAAAATACAAGGAAAATGTGCATTTTTATGTGGGATTCTGAGTATGGCAGCACAGACAATGCAAAGTAGTAAATAATCTGTTTTGCTTGTGGCCTTCCACAGAATCACTGTTGGCTTCAGTTAGCAGAGTGTGAAAAATGTGAATGAGAAAGACGTACTTTATATAGGTGTTAGCATTTCCCTCGGGGAAGGTGTAGGGATGCTTCTTTCGGAAGACGTGCCCGACCCGACTACAGGGGATGATTTCCAAGCTTCCTCCACACATCCACACCCGGAATGAAATTTCTGTAAGATATTCCGTGTCAGCTTCGTAAAGTCATGGAGCAGGCTCTGTTCTTGCTTTATCTCATCTCTCATGTTACTTTTTGCCACACTAAATCAGAATGGGCTTTCCTGAGCTCATTTGCCATCTCCTTGTAGCACAGTTTGAGTCGTGATGTCACAAAGAGCCAGGGTGTCAGCAGGACTCTTTATATAGAGCAGGGCTAATGTCTTGGCAAGCATCTTTCTGTTTCCTATAATCAAGGCTCTTTTTGTAGAAAAAGCCCAGCAGGAACTCATTAGCATAATAGGCCACACCCAACAGCAGAAACTCATTAGCATATTAGGCCACACCCCTGACGGCACAGCTCATTAGCACATTAGGCTGCACCCCCATGTTACCAGAAGTGTGGTCATCCATCCACACCCACCTTTTGCTTCTTATTCTATTTACCTTGTTTGTTGTCAAAACCCAGGGCTTTTTTTGTAGCAGGAACTCCTTTGCATGTTAGGCCCCTAATGTAGCCAACCCTAATGAGTTTCTGCTGTTGGGTGTGGCCTATTATGCTAATGAGTTCCTGCTGGGCGTGACCAACTTGGGAGCCAGCCGGAACTCCGTTCCTGCGCGTTCCTGCCCCAAAATAGCCCTGCCTATAATCATTCAGGCAACATATAATACAGACCCACTTTGCTCCACAAAGGAAATCCAGAGTCTCCTAGTGAAGGGTTAAAAAATAAAATCAAAGCCAGAATATGGGCTGTATGCCAGCATTTAAAAATAAAAAATAAAAGTTCAAATGTTTTGAGTCAAACTGAGAATGATTATTTTTACTTAATGTGAATTCCTGCACAGTGTATTCTATGAATGTACACAAAGGAATCAGGTTGTCAAGCTCAATGCAACTCAGGATTTCACATGCTGATGCAATAAAGGCTGCAGGCAGCATGTGTTGTTTTCTCTGGAGCCCCCTCCCTCCAACAGGTTCTGTTGAGGCAAGGCAACCAATTGGTGGCAAAGCACTGTGGTGCCTTGGCAGCAGCAACTGTGAGAAGGAAGGCTCTTACCTCCACTTCCCGGCACAGCTCTTGCATTGGCTCTAGAACCCGAGCATAGCCTCAGTTCACCACATCACCAGCCACAAGATTCAAAGGAGAGCTTTTGTTGATTTGCTCTGCTCCTGCTGGGTTCCAACAGGCACAGCCCTGATCACTCCCAAGGCTTGCCCAAGTCTCCATCCAGGCACCAGAATTTTTAAAATAAAATAAATTGGCAACACTACCACAGAGGACGTTATGCTTGCCTTTGTAGCATGTGGCTTGCTCATGTTGTCTGGACCTCTTGCCCTAATAGCACAGAGCTGAACCAGCTGTCCTTCGAGCTCATTCCAACTCTGCAAGTCAATTTCTGTTAGGAAAATGGAAGTAGCCTTTCAGACAGGAGAACTAGCCACACTGCTTCTTTAAGGAATGAAATATTTATTACGGTCAAAGACCAGCAGGAGGCTCCTTTCAGGATCTGTCGCCTGCCACACACAGAACAACTGCTGGATTCTCCTGCTGATTTTGTACCAAACAACTCCCTGGAAGCTACAAGTGCTTCCAGTTATTGGTTACAGCTGTAAAAATGTAGTAAATTGCTACTAGTGTCTGCCAATCTTACCTACCACACAGAAACACTTTTCACACAAACAACTCACTATCATCAATTAAGTCAGGAACAGTCAATGGCACAAGGAGACAAAAACCCAGTGGGAACCCAGTGGGACCTGCAATTCCACATCAGGTACAAAAGCAGAATTTGACAATCATTCAATATTGTCTCGTTGCTTTCTGTTGTATCCCATATGTCTGTTCTTTATACGTTTTTAGATTCTGCCCAGGACTGTGAGCTACTGCCATCCTACACAGAGTTATGCCCTTCTAAATCCATTGTCTTCAACAGACTTTGAAGGGTGTAACTCTGCTTAGAACTGCATTGCTAGCCGCCTTCATTGTTCATCTAGGCTATGAAGTTGGAAGCACCTCTGGAATAATTCACCTTTACAGAACCCATGTTTCTGATTTCTGGTCTACTTAATTACATTCTTTTTTTTTTTTAGTTTCAGGACACAAGGTACATTCCATGAGAAGGTCAAGCAAACCATTTCAAAACACAGCTCTTAAGTATACACACACTATGATAAAAGGCTTCCAGGGGAAAAACAACAGTGTCAGACAATGGATGGGATTATTGCAAAGCGGGAGCATCTGTTTCTATGGATCACTGGCAAAGCTGCTACATCTGCTAAGACACAGGATTATTTTTCCTTACTAGCCACATTCCCTAGAGGTGTCGAGGTATTAAAGGCAGCTTAAGATCTGTCTCCCTGACATCCCAGTGCCTCCCTTGCTCTTTCAAGGCTGCAGACAACTCCCTCAGATTTACAGCCTCCTTACAGTCGCAAATAATTTTTTTAAAGGGAGAAACAGCAAAGGTTGAATGAATCTCGGCAGCAGGAACAGGAAGGGGCAATATCGTTTCTTAGGCTTCCTGGGAGCAAGTCTAAGAGGTGTCCACAGGACAGAAGCAGGGTAAGCTGACCTTACACAGAGAGCTGGGTTTGAAAGATTTATGACAGGAGTCATACAAAACCTCTCCCTGCCTCAGCTTCTCCTTCTTCCCCCTTTATTGTTTTCCCTATAAGAATTCCCCAAACGATTTTCTCTTCACATATCTGAACAAAAGCTCATATTGAAACAAATATTGTTCATCTTTAAGGTGCTGCTGCTGGACTTTTATTTTGGAGACACAAGACCATGGTTGCCCTTGTCATCAGTCATTTTTTTATGTTTGTGTTATCCAGGACATATCAAGGACAGCCACAATCAGCAAAGGACCTGTTACTGATAAGGGTAATTTTAAGCCTACCCGTCCCCAACACTTATCCTAGCCTTGGCATTTGCCCCACAGATACCATTTACTTGACATAAGGGTCATTCATGAATCAAGCAAAGCAAAGGGCCTTTCCAGAGACGATTCATATATGACCTGTAAATCTGTTGCAAGGGAACAGATGGGTGGGTGGCTACATTCATGCTTAGAGGACCATGCACCATTTATTTTATTTATTTATTTCTTGGGATTTATATCTCACCCTCCCCCACAAGCCATCCTACACAGAGTTATGCCCTTCTAAATCCATTGTCTTCAACAGACTTTGAAGGGTGTACCATCCATCCAGTATTCAGTTGCGGTAGTGCCTAGATTTACTGCTCCCACATGTCATCCTCGAGAGGTTAAAAATAAGTATGCACTAACCTCTTAGAAAAGAACACTGAGAACCCATAACAGATGCTTTAACTCTGCCCAAGTAATAGCCTCTCCCATGGCCACCATAAAGTCATCCCCCAGATGAACAGCTAATTTGGTCTCTGCTTGGTGACACACCAATACAATGCACTGCACTAATTAGAGAGATCTCAAAGGAAATCCCTACCAGACCTTTGGAATTAACTTTGATACGGCCCATTTCTCTCTTCTAAAATGCCTTCAGTGGCTGATGGTGCATCAGATCTGTGTATGCAACATTTTCTTCACTCAAAGATTGTCTTTTTTGTGAACAGATTGCCTGCCTGCCCTTTTTGTCCTCTTAGATAGTGTGAAGTTGATAATGGCATGAGGAGATGATAGTATATATGTCAACACATCATGAAGGAGTTGCTAGAAGGGATGGAAAAGAAAGAAGGAGTCTTTAGAATGTTGGTAGCACTTTAATAAAGGTACTGAACCTTTCTTTGTTTGACCAAATTTCTGTCAAATAATAAGTGGGACTTCTTGAGTTGTGGGCATTTAGTTACAGCAAGAGAATGCTGATAGACAGCCCTCACCCCTCCATCTCAGAACTTCAAAAGAAAACTTGCTCATGGATATAAAGTGACAATGACTCACCAAAGTTCTCTCCACCCCAGATATCCATGGCAGGGTCATATTTCCCAAGATGGTTGAACCAGGCCTTGTCAATCACAAAAAGTCCCCCTGCAATGATAGGAGTCCTACATGGTTTGGGAAGAAAGAAGAAAGTTGTTCAGATATGGTACAGAAATATTAGACGTGCACACCAGCAAACATAGCAAAGTTGGCCAAATCCTTGCATTTCTATTATCTATATACTAACAGCAAAATGGCCAAATCCTTGGATACTTAAATCCAGTGACAGGAGCTGTGAACGGTCAAGGCAGATCTTTCTACAAACTTGAAAAGGGCCCAAGGTTTGCAGAAAAATGTGAAGTAAAAAAAATGCATTGGTTAAAAAACCCAACATTTTTAAAAGGAGCACCTGTTGCTTTAAGCAACAGATTCCCTCAGTGGTCATTGCTAGGTAACCACAGTATTCCAAACATGGTTGTGCCAATAAAAGGCAGGGGGAGGGGGCAGGACCCTTTCCAGGCCTATTTTGGCCTTTGAGGGGGGACTCCTGGGGGCCAGGCTAGGATTTGCCAGCTCCAGGTTGGGAAATTCCTGGAGATTTTGTGGTGGAGTCTGTGGAAGACAGGGTTTAGGGAAGGAAGAGGCCTCAGCCAAATATAATGCCATATAATCCACGCTCCAAGGCGGGCATTTTCTCCAGGGGGACATATCTCTGTTGTTTTTGTCTGGACTATCCAGGTCATGGCTCAGTTGAAGAGCACCTGCTTGGCATGCAGAGTTCTATCCCTGGCACCTCCAGTTAAAAGAACTGGGCTGTGGCTTATTATGAGAGAGACTTCAGCTTGAGACCCTGGAGAGCCACTGCCAACTTTGAGTACACCTGGAAGGAGAGAGAAGCTTACAATGCCCAGGCATTTCATGTTTTCCCTTGGGTCCTAGGCTCAGAGTATTGACCATGAGAGCAGGCTGGGGAAAGTAAAGTAGCATTCCCTGCACAAGCTGGGACACTGTCACTGCCAGGGGTGGATGGTTAGGCTGGGGAAGGCTCAGCAATGGGGGGGGGTATGGAAGTTTTGTAGGTCCCCACTTCTATAATGGTGCTTTTACAATGCACTAAATAATGCACTTTCAATACACTTTGCAACTGGATTTTACTGTGTGAAATGGCAAAATCCACTTGCAAATCGTAGCTGAAAAGGACTCAAACTGCATTATTTAGCATGTGTGAAAGCTCCCTTATTTGCCAATTCCAGTTTGGGAAATACCAGGAGATTCTGGGTGCAGGGCCAGGGGATGGGATGTCAGCAACGTCTAACTCCATGCACCCCATCCTCCAAAGCAGCCATTTTCTCCAGGGGAGCTGAACTCTGTCATCTGGAGGTCAGTTGTAATTCCAGGAGATCCCTAGGCCCCACCTGGAGATTGGCAACCCTATTTACACCCCAGCCTGACAAAGTTCCATTTCTGTTAGATCCAGCCCTCATAACAAATGAATTTGACGTCCCTGGGTTAGAGCTTCAGAGCAGGGTCTGGGAGATCCAGGTTCGAATTGGTTCCTGGGTTGTTGTGAGGATAAAACAGAGGAGATGAGAATAATGTAAACTGCTTTGGTCCCTACTGTGGAGAAAGGTGGGTTATAGATCAAGTAAATAAATAATAAATAGAGCTGAAGATGGGAGGCAAATAAAAAGTAGGTTGATGAATGGCTGAGAAGGAGATAATGAACCAGGTAAAGGGGGGAGGATATGGGGGTTGCTGGGGGAGGGAAAAAGGAAATAGTGTGGAGAGGGAGGGACACAGGGGAAAGTGAACTGCCACCCTACACGTCCTTGAGGGTTTGCTACCATGCGAATAGGCCTGGCTCAGTGGCTGGCACCACACAACTGGGCCATAGTTTTCCCAAGCAGAGGCTGTTGGGGCAAGGGAGAGGTTAGCTGTTGGGTGTAAAGGAGATAGGGTTGCCAACTCCAGGTTAGGAAATTCCTAGATATTTGGGGGTGGAGTCTGGGAATGGTGGGGTTTAAAGAGCAGAGAGACCTCAGAAATGTATATGGCAGAAATTGACAAAATGACCAGGAAACTCAGAAATGTTGAGGCGGAAGAATTCTTTGAAGACTGGAATGATTTTAAAGACTATCTAGAGAAATACTGGGATGTTAAGGACAATTTGATTTGCTTTGTAAACTATTAGGTAAAGATAGTAATGAAATACAAATTATGTATTAGAATGGACGCTTAAAGAATATAAGTTACCTAGAATGTTGTAATAACAAGATTTAAACAATTAAGGATTTAAGATATAAGCGGGTGGTGGGAGCGCTGTGGGAAGTCTATAAGAGGTGGGGGAGTAAGAGGAAATGGATATAGACAAAAACTGATATATGTGAAATGTGTGTTATCCAAATAAAAATTGTGTTAAAAAAAAAGAAATGCATAACACCATAGATGCGACCCTCCAAAGCAACTATTTCCTCCATGGGAACTAGGGTTGCCAACCACCAGGCAGGAGCTGGAGATTACCCATAATTATAACCGCTCTCCAGATGACAGCGATCCATTCCCCTGGAGAAAATGGCTGCTTTGGAGGGTGTGCCCTATGGCATTATGCCCTGCCGAGGTCACTTCCTTGCCCCAACTTCACCATCCTAAGGCTCTACCCCCAGATCTTCAGGAGTATACAAGATTTAAACAATTAAGGATTTAAGATATAAGCGGGTGGTGGGAGCGCTGTGGGAAGTCTATAAGAGGTGGGGGAGTAAGAGGAAATGGATATAGACAAAAACTGATATATGTGAAATGTGTGTTATCCAAATAAAAATTGTGTTAAAAAAAAAGAAATGCATAACACCATAGATGCGACCCTCCAAAGCAACTATTTCCTCCATGGGAACTAGGGTTGCCAACCACCAGGCAGGAGCTGGAGATTACCCATAATTAGGCAAAATGAGATGCCCCCTGAAAGTCCTTTCTGGTTCCTGCTTGTATATTCTAGTACCAAAATCAGCCAAAAATGAGAATACTTAAATCTGGTGACTGAAGCTGTGAAAGGACAAGACAGGTCTTTCTACAAACCTGAAAAACATCCCAGAATGAAGTCTTAAAAAAAAAAAACCTTTATAAAAGATGGTGGGTAAAAAAAATCCCAAAATGATAAAAAGAGAACCTGCAGATTTAAGATACAGAGGCCTTCAGTGGCTTTTCCAGGGCTCCTTTGGCCTTTGAGGGAGGACTCATAGGGGCCAGGCCCACCTTGCAGCAACCACTAGGTGACTTGATACCACCCGACTTGCATGACTTCATTTGGCCTGGCTGCTCTACTGTTCTACAACAGCCATCCTTTCAAAGCCAGTGTGGTGGAGTTTCAGCGTAGGGTCTGGGAGACCCAGGTTTGAAACCCCATCTTGCTGTAAAAGCTCACTGGGTGATATTGGGCCAGTCATATACTTTCAGCCTAATCTACCTTGCTAGGTTGTTGTGATGATAAAAAGGAGAAGAGGAGAATAATGTAAGCTGCTTTAGTTCCCACTGGGGAGAAATGCGGAGTATAAATGAAGTAAATAAATAATGAATATAGCTGAAGATGAGAGGCAAATAAAAGTTAGGCTGGTGAATGAGAGAATGAGGCAGGGAAGGGTGAGAGGATATGGGGGTTGCCAGGAGGAGGGAAGGGAGAAATAATGTGCAGAAGAGGATACAAGGGAAAGTGAGATGCCCCTCACAAGTCCTTGAGGATTCCCTACCAGTGACACACAACTGGGCCACAGTTTTCCTAGGATATGGCTGCTGGGGAGTGGCGCTGAAGACAGAGGGACAGATAAAGTTAAGTTGGCTATTGTGTGGGAAGGAGAGAAGAGAGCAGGAAAAGGGAAGAGGCTCTGGGTCTTTCAGGGAAGGGAAAAAGGAAATCCTGGGAGTGGGGGAAATGAGATGCCTCCCACATATTCTTGTGGGTTCCCATTTGTGATATCTAAATCATGCATATAGCTCTTTAACTCCCAGATTAAGTTACATTAGTCTTCAAGGAGCCTGGCATTTAAAACTATGTATTCTGCAGAGAAGAAACAATTTTGAAATATAGCCGCTTCCAAGGTTCCGTACACTGTCATGGGCCTGCACAGGTTAACTTTCCACCTCCTATTTTCCTCCATTAATTGACTATCAGTTGCTCTCAGTTTCTGTGCCTCCTGGCACATGCTCAGGCCAGTTTTTTATTTTTTATTTACATGTATATGTAAGATATTTTAACGTTATATTGCTAGCTGCCGAGGAGGAGGAGGAGGAGGAGGAGAGTTGGATTTGTACCCCACCCTTCACTCGGAGTCTCAGAGCGGCTTACAATCTCCTTCCCTTCCTCTCCCCACAACAGACACCCTGTGAGTAGGTAGGGTTGCCAGACCACCCGGTTTGGCAGGGGTTGCCCAATTTGGAGGGACTCCTTCCCGCCAGCCAGCTAGCTGGCAGGCATGGGGAAGCGCTGCCCCCAAGAGCAACCACCCACCCTCCTCCCCAAATCTTCCCTGCTGGAGAGAGGCGGGGGCCGTGCACCTGCACTCTACCCCCCAAATTCGGGGCTTGGAATGCCCCGGTATGCACAGCCTCCCCTCCACTTCTCCCCAGCAGTCTTTAAAGGATGGCTTTAAAGGTTGCTGGGAAACGGTGGGGGCTGCACGCCTGCATTTGGGGCTTGGAATGCAGGCGTGCGTGGCCTCTCCCCCACCCTTTACCAGTTTTAAATGCTGCTGGGAAGCAGTAAGGGCCACGTGCCTGCACTCTAAGCCCCGAATTTGGGGCTTGGAATGCAGGTGCGCGCAGCTCCCCCCCCCAGCAGCATTTAAAGGATACCTTTAAATGCTGCTGGGGATAGGTGGGAGTGCTGGCCCCCAACTTGATGACATCACCTCTGTGTGACGTCATCACGTAAGGGATGCACCACCCCCTCCAGTAATGCCCCCAAAGTCCCTCGCTGGGGACTTTGAGGGGACCTGGCAACTCTAGCGGTAGGTGGAGCTGAGAGAGCTCTGAGAGAACAGCTCTGAGAGAACTTATGACTGACCCAAGGTCACCCTGCTGGCTACCTGTGAAGGAGTGGGGAAACAAACCCAGTTCTCCAGATTATAGTCCTGCCGCTCTTAACCACTACACCAAACTGGGTTTAAACAAATTAATCTACTATCCAAGCAATCCTTACTCCTTGTCCTATGCTCCTTTAGTACAGATGCCAACAAAATAGGCAGAAGTGCTCACTTATTTTGCCTAGAACGTTTGTTATGCACTCCCACCTTCCCTGAGAGGTAAGAAATCCAGGGGCAGGAAAATAAGGCTCAGTTTCCATAGGACGAGAGTGAAAGAGAGAGGGTGCAGTTCCAAGCAGAACTACACAATGGGCTTAGAAGGGCAGACCTCTGCTTAGGACCGCACTGAAAGACAGGGCACTGGAAACCTATGGTGTCATTGTAATTTACTAATATACAGACATAGTACACAGGGCTCTAGATTGCCACTGATGCTGCTCTGAAATTCTAAAGAGTAGTCATTGCTCCCACCCAGACACATGTCAGGATGCACCTTTTAAAGCCCCCAGCTCCATATACCTAAATCGAAACAGCAAACACTCCTTCTGTCCCCTCCCCCCCAATCCGATGGGATCAAAGACTGAAGCCATCAGGAACACTCAGCTCTTTGTTAAGTCCCTCATCACCCATCCAGATTGTCAGGGATACTGACAGTGATAGGCCTGCTAATGCTAATCAAGGTAGCCAAACATAACTGTACTGTTTTCTGAGACCGAAAAGATCGAGATGATTCCTTTTAGGCTGTCTACGCTCAGAAATCATCTTGCTCTCTGGACAAGTAAAGTCTCAAACAACCCTTGGTATTTTTCTGCCAGTCATAACTCTCCCCCCCCCGGCACATAATGAGTGGCTACGCACTCATCAGCACAACTCCTACGAGCTTGAAGTTCGCAGCCCTGATTGCAGGCTTCCACACCAAAAATGCATTTAGCACTTGGGGGTTATTTACATGACATTATTTAGTCGGGCACTGTACCGAGTTTTATCCTGCTAGAAGCACCATCTTAAGAGGGAGGGGGAAGTCATACCTACTCAGAAAGACAAAGAAAGAGCTTTTAAGAAGCTTTTTGTAATCAGCTGGATCTGGATTTCAAAACAGACTTATACCCCCTCCCCCTGTTTTCCTTCTGATCAACTAAGAACAAAAGCAAAGAAGTGGCATTGATTGAGATGAGATGCAAAGCAGACTGTGGCCCCTGTCACACGGAAGGTTTTGGCCCAGGAGAGGGACGGATCGGGGGCGCAGCAAACGGGTATGATCTCACCACAACATCTGGGAAGTGGCGTGCACCCGTCCCCGATCCGTCCCTAACCCCGGAAAACTCGCTGCAAAAAAGAACCTCCTACAGAGGAGGACTTACCTGCAGCATCGCAGCAAGCGCAGCCATGGGATCGCCGCCGCACCCATTGTGCGTATCAATCCCGGTTCCCCACAAAACTGCACATGTGCACACATGTGCAGTTCAGCTGCTGTGCTCTTCTTTCTGTGGCTTCCCCCCAGCATCTGATTGTGCTGGGGAGGAAGTGCGCGACGGCTCAGGGGATCTATGTGATCCTGCCGCCGTGTGTCTCTTTTGGTGCGGCTTTAAAAAGCCGCACTTTGCCCATCCTTTCCCCACCCGCCACCCCCGTGTTTCAGGGACCTGTGTTCCAAGCACCACCATTTGCTTCATGGGCCATACATTGCTCTCAGCACCCTGGTACATGTCTTGAAGAGGCTGAGTCCTGAAGAGGAGGACACACTGTAATAAAGCAAGAATGTGGATGTGCCATGAGCAAGTACACTCAGCAAAAGCAACTGGCATAAAGGGGGGGGGGGGATATTGCCAAAATCTCTGAATCTTTTCCCGAATTCCAGACGGCATTTCTGAAGCTCGGTGGGTGGCCAATTTGCTTTCATGTGGTTTCTGAACATGCTGGTAACCAACACTCTGTCTCACGTTAATATGCACATGTTAACATGAACATATTTTATGGGGATATGTGAGAGGTTGCTCCTTACTTCTGCATCATCCATGCCCTGTGTGCTAAGAGGAGATACATGTGACACTCTTGGGGGGGGTCTGATTTGTTGATGGCAGCTGTTCTGCAACTGAGGATGAATGTCTGGATGATAGCCTTTTGAAAATTTCCAACTGCACTATTCTTACAACCTGTCACATGGACATTGTCATGCTTGTAGGCCATATTGAATTCACTCAGAGGAATGACCCCAAGATACCATTTTACCATTACAGCCACATTAGATTAGAAACAGTGGCTTCTCCAAAGTAGCACTAGCTGCATGAAGCCTAAGAATGCTTGATTTTTTTCATCACGCACCCCAGCTGCTGCCAATTAAAAGCTCGGGGGTGGGGGGTGGGGACGACGCTCAGAGATGGAAAGGGTACAAAGGGTGGAATCAAACTGGAATTATTACTTAAGTTAGGCAAAAATGTCATTGTGGAAGCCATAAATCTCCACAGATCTGAATAAATCTGGTCTGAGAGGTCAGAGTACACTGAAGGTTATGGTCATTGATTTCCGTTCTAGGGTGTGGAGTTGGCCCCCCCACAAATTGTAACCCCTCAGTTAGCTTCTCAGTTATGCTGCATTCATCAGATCATGATTACTTTCTGGTTAGTGACAAACCCAGTCACTATAAGAACATAAGAACATAAGAGATGCCAATGTTGGATCAGGCCAAAGGCCCATCCAGTCCAACACTCTGTGTCACACAGTGGCCAGAAATACCAGGTGCCATCAAGAGGTCCACCAGTGGGGCCACTATGGACTACTTAAAACAAAAAAATCAAGATAAACACATCCATTTACTTTGTAATCAAGTGAAGTCTCTCTAACTTTCTGAGTTCTGGTCAGACTCTTATCAGGCCTATGTATCCAATATACACTAAAGTGAAGAATCTTTTCGGTACTTCTACAATTCTTTCCAGAAACCTCCATTCCACTTTTCATCTTCTTCATTCTTATCACTTACTTGATGGGCTCCGTAGGGTCAGTTCGCTTTGACTTCTGCTCTGGAGAAAGCTGTTCCCATTTAAAATGTAGGCTCCAATCAAACCCTAAATACAAAATCAACAGCAGGTACAGAAAAGTTTGAAGTGGCTATTGAAATCAAGACTCATCATATAATCATTCAAATCACCCAGCCCATAAGACTTTTAGTCTATTTAGGAGATGATCCCAAACCCTGAAATGAGTCAAGGATTAAGAGTTACTATTTTAATATCCAGTTTATGGGTTCTTTTGTATCCTTCTGCTGGTCCATATTTATCAGAAGAAGATGATTTGTGATATGCTAGCTCACAAAATGTAATTGATTGATCTATCCTCTACCTCAGCTTTGTCATAGGTCTTGCTATCTGTTGAAGAAATTATTACTAGCCGTTGAAATGTAACGGTGGATTCCAAGGGGACCTTAATCGATTAGCAACAAATCAAAACTCCAAGAATATCAAAACTCTCCTGAAGTTTAAGTAATCCTCATCAAGGTAACATTTGAATTGTGCAGTACCTTCAGGATTTCTTATTCCCCTTACAATATTGTAAGCAGCCCTCTTGGAAAAGTCAGCTGTCCACATGCAAGTTGTTTTCAGGCTCACCTCCTCTCAGGTCTGAAGAAGCTGCCACATAAGCAAAAGTATCCAAGTTGATGATGTCAATAACAGGACTCACCACATGGACTGGATCCTGATAACAACAATGACAGCAATTTAGGTTTCCAAGGTCCCTCGGGATGTGTTTCTACTGTACAGACATTATGCTTCCATGGCACTTCATGTCCTGTATTTTGTATTTGGGGACAATGGGATATTCCCCTAAGATAACAGTTCCAAGAAGTACCCAAGACTGTTTCCCCTGTGGACACCTATTAGGATATGAAAGAGAGAGAATACATTGCCTTCCAATACACTTAAGAAATGGTGGTGGTGGAAAGTGCCATTGAGTTGTAGCCGACTTATGGCAACCCCACAGGGTTTCCAAGCAAAGACACATTCAGAGGTGGTTTGCCATTGTCTGCCTCTGTATAGCGACCCTGGTATTCCTTGGTGGTCTCCCATCCAAATACTAACCAGGGTGGAACCTGCTTAGCTTCCATGATTTGATGAGATTGGGCTAGGCCAGGCCATCCAGATCAGGACATACTTTAAAGGGACTGCAGAAGGCAGCCTGAAAAACAGCTGAGCAGAGGGGAGCAGCATGCTACCCACCACTCAGCTGTTTTGGGCTATGTTCTCCATGTTGGAAAAATTGGCAAAATAGTTAAATATTCAGAGTTTGCAATGGATCTTTGTTCACTGGAGAGGAGGCATTTTCTTTCTATGTAAAAATCTTTATTTATAAAGGGAAGGGCTCATGGGAAATCTACAAAGCAACAAACACGCTTAAGACTACATGCTTGCAACAACAGACACACAGATAGTAATGGAGATTCTTCCTTTCTTCTTGACCCCTAGAAGGAAATCACCTGAATATATTAACCAATTATTGTTAGTAAGTAGGCTCCAGTTTCCCGGGCTTCCTATTGGCTTTCTGCCAGGTTCCCTTCCAGGTCAGTCTAAACAATAGCACACAAGGTAAAGCACATTAACCCTATAATGACTGAATTTTAGACCTTGCAACACACATATTTTCAACACTGCAGTCCCTTTAAAGTTTTAAAGGGACTGCAGAAGACAGCCTGAAAAACAGCTGAGATGTGGGGAGCAGCTTCCTCCCCACCACTCAGCTGTTTGGGGCTGTGTTGTGAAGTCCCTTTAAACTTTAAAGGGAATGCAGAACACAGCCCAAAACAGCTGAGTGGTGGGTAGCAAGCTGCTCCCTGTGGTTCAGCGTTTTTTTGGATTGTCTTCTGCATTCCATTTAAAGTTTAAAGGGATTGCACAAGACAGCTTGAAACAGCTTAGCAGTGGGGAGCAAGCTGCTCCCAGCCACTCAGCTGTTTTTCAAGCTTTCTGCCAACCCCATTTAAAGGGACTGCGGTCCCTTTCAGTTCATGGTTTGGTTCATGGCTCAGCCACAAACTGAACTGCATTTTTCTGGTCTGTGCCCATCCGTAGTCAGGACTAGTTGGAGTATCATGTTAGAAAAGGGGTTTGGATGCAGTTGGTTTGCTCATGTGAATCATCCCAAACAGAGCATGTTAAGAAAATGTCTATGAGGTGCTAATACATAAGAAGCACATTTTCCTGCCACAGAAGGAATTTCTGTCCATATATACACTGCTGCCTTCAACATAGTTACATCCTTCTAAGCTCATTGACTTCAGTGGATTTAGCAGAGTGTAACTCTGCTTAAGATGGCAGTGTTAGCCTCCATAAAAGTCCCAGTGGGTGTTAATTTAATTTTTAATGAATGATGGGTCATGTTAGCAAAGCTGTCAGGGGGTTAGATGCATGCCCTACTGGGCCAACTGATTGTACTGTCATAAAGGGAAAGCCTCTTTCACATGATTGAATGCTAGGCTCTTGTAGAAATTCCTGCAGGAAGGATGTCATTTTCTTGACCGTGTGGCTCTTTTCTAGAAGTGTTACTGGAGGAAAGCGATGGCGAACCTAAACAGCATGATAAAAAGTAGAGATATCACCCTGCCAACAAAAGTCCACATGGTCAAAGCAATGGTATTCCCAGTAGTCATGTATGGCTGCGAGAGTTGGACTATAAGGAAGGCCGAGCGCCGAAGAATAGATTCTTTTGAACTATGGTGCTAGAGAAGACTCTTGAGAGTCCCTTGGACTGCAAGAAGATCAAATCAGTCAATCCTAAAAGAAATCAACCCTGACTGTTCCCTGGAAGGCCAGATAATGAAACTAAAGCTCAAATACTTTGGCCACCAAATGAGAAGGGAGCACTCACTGGAGAAGACCCTGATGCTTGGAAAGATTGAAGGTCAAAGAAGACGGGGACGGCAAAGGAAGAGATGGTTAGACAGTGTCATAGATGCAACGAACTTGAAATTGAACAAACTTCAGAGGACAGCGGAAGACAGGAGGGCCTAGCGTGATCTTGTCCATGGGGTCGCAAAGAGTCGGACTTGACTGTGCGACTGAACAACAACAACTGGAGAAGCATGGAATCTAGCTATGTGAAAGCTACTCCAATAATGTTCTGGTAATATAAGCATCAGCCCACTGGAAATACTAAAGAAAGACAGCAATAGGGGGGAAATTTGGAGGAACAGAAAGAAAGTGGAACATGTGAAAAAGCTGTAATGTCACAATTTCCTGGAATAATCAACTTTTCACCAACGCTGAGCTCATTCCTAAGCAGCTGCTTGCGTAGAAAGTGTGTGTGTTATTTTTATTGCTGAGAACATTACAAATATTTTGCTGAATAATTTAACATCACCTTCTAAGCAAATTCTTCAATTTGGAACCTGCTCCCTTAATAACGGCTGCTGAATGTCAATGGCGAAGCAATGACGGAGAGGCCAAAGAAAAAAACAGATTACAACCCATAAAAAGCAATCATAAGGAAAGGGATGGAAAATTACATAGTATAAAATCACTTATTTAAAAAATGGCTGTGATTTCTCCAGCGTGGAGAAAACAGGGAAAAAGAAATCTGAATATTTGTCTCTTGCAGCTCAATTAACAACTCGTCATGTGTGGAGAGACTACATGAACAAAATATCTGGGTGAGGGAGATTCTGACAGTTCTGAATGGTCCTTTATCTTCCCTTGACTTAAAAAAATATATATCCCAAACTCCAATTACAGCTTAAACTTTTAAGCTCCCCCCACCCTTCAACTTGCTCTCTGCAGGCTTGCAGGCAGAGGCATAGGATCCTAGTCTTGGAAATCAGTCCTGACAGAGGATAAAGGTAGTTCCAGGTGGACAAAGGTGTTCTTAAACAGGGAGTGGACCGAGTTTTAAAACACACCAAACTGGGCTCAAGTAAACCTTTTATGGTTTTGATATGTGTTCACAAGTGTAGGTGCTCAGGAGACAATGATGACTCCAAAACTGGACTTTGGCACTTGGATAGGAAATCTAATTCCCAGAAATGGTGGCATCTCTCAATTGAATAATACCCGAAAGGAAGGCACTCGGGGTGGGGATATTCCACGGACAAGACCAGGATCCCTTCTCTCAATGGCTAACTCTTCATATCTTCTGCCCTCCAGTCCGTCTCCAGGAAAATCTTGGTGTTCGGGCCCACTTTCTGAGAGAGACCCAGGCCACTTCTAGCTTTTGAGGCCCCTTGCCAAAATAAATTTAAAATATGATACCTGAGAACAAAACAAGGCTTTTTTTTTTTTAAAGGGTGAGAGAAATTGTGAAACTTATCAAATGTGAAAAAATGAACAAATGTTTAAGGCCACTCGTTCAAGTCTGAGGCCCAGCCAAGGCTCAGTGGCCCCTCTTGCCCGCACCCTGCTCTGATTGGCCCTCTTGCTGCCTCTGTAGTCTGTACATTTATTCCACCCCGTGCTTTAATATTCATTTTTAAATTAGCATATTTTCACAAATTAGGGCCCCATAAAGAGAGGAGCCAGAAGCCACAGCTGAAAGACAACGGAAAGAAGCCGCCCCGAGGAAAGAACCCCCCCCCCCTCCACTGGGTGCTGGTAGGGATGTCCCCACCCCTGAT